TATATTTTTAGAAATGATTTGGAAAATATTTGAACACCTTGTCTTAAAATATTTTATTCATCATGTTAAAATAAAACGTTCCATAATCAATTTTTTCCCCTTTTTTCAATTTTTCGGAAAAAAAACAAAGAAAGCTTCAGGAAAAAAACGGGAACCCCTCCCCCCAAATTTTTCCGTTTTTTCCCCGGGCCTTCACATCTCTATCCCTGCCTCACAGTTGTAAGGCTATACCACCCCCCAGTGTTTCTCCACAATGGCTGCCGTCAGTGTTCCCTCTAAGCTGAGTTAGTATGAGCTAGCTCACAGTTTTTTAGCCTCCGGCTCACACATTTTTGTCTTAGCTCGGGAAGGATGGCTCCAGAGCAAACTAATTGATGTAGCAGCCAAATCGCTCCCTCACAGCTTTAATGCCAGTAGCTCACAAAGTAGAATTTTTGCTCACAAAACTCCACCGCTTAGAAGGAACATTGGCTGCCCTAACTTGGAACTTTTACTGCCTTCTCTGAGGAAGGGAGCTCAGACTGTCTCCAAAGATCGAGACGGGGAGGAGCCCTCCTTGTCAGAGTAGAAAAGAGAGTCCAGGAGCACCTTAAAGACTAACAAAATCTGTGGCAGGGGAATACCAGGAGCGGCGAGAAAACCAAATTTCCCCGTCTCTTGTCTGCGCCTCCTCCTGGACCGTGCTCAGTCCCTTTGGGTTTGGAGGGGGGAGGCGTGGATGGGACGGAGAACACACCCAGGAGAAGGGAGTTCAGGGGGCAAGAGGAGAGAAGTTCACTCCTGGAGCTGTGGAGGGTGAGAGAAAAGAGCGACCGAAACGATCCGGGGGCTTGAGCCTGTGAGGATCGCTTAAAACACTGAGGGCTGTTAGGCCTAGAAAAAAGGCAAGTCAAGGCAGTCGTGGCAAAGGTTGATAACATTCCAAGTGGGAACTTGCACGGACTCTAATCTGGGAGAGCCGGGATTGATTCCCCACTCCCCCACTTGCACCTGGCTGGATGACCTTGGGCAAGCTGTTCTGATAAGAGCTGTCCTTGAAAAAGAGCAGTTTCTGTCAAGAGCTCTCTCAGCCCCACCTATCTCACAGGGTGTCTGTTGTGGGGAGGGGAAGGGGAAGGAGTTTGTAAGCCGCTCTGAGACACCTTCGGGTAGTGAAGCGCGGGTATAAATCCAATCTCTTCTTCTTTTGCTCCTCCAGCCACCCTGCCGGGAGCCACATGATATGTGTGAAAGAGCCACATGCGGCTCCCGAATCACAGATGGACCACCCCTTGATCTAGACCCTCTGAATGTGAAGGGGGGGAGAAGCAGAAAGGGCCATTTGGGAGTGCTCCTAGAGGGGCCTGGGACATTGTCTTCACTTCCTTCCTTCCTTCCTTCCTCCTCTGGCTTCCTGTTGATAGCTTGTCCTTCGTGGGACTGGATCGATACTAGCCATGTGGAATCCTCCTGTCCCACTTCCTGCACCTTCCTGTCTCCTTTGACATTGTAACAATGTGCGGGGGGGGGTATTCATATCTTCCTTTTCTTGCAGAGACTGGTGGCTTGTGATGAGGTGGCTGTGTATTTCTGTGTTGCTTGAGGAATTAATACCGACTTGAATTAGCCTGTAAGAGCTAGGAAGCCAGTGGTACAATAGAAATTCTCAACTACTTTATTTAGACTTTCTTACTCTTTAAGTAGGGAGCTGCGGTAGCTCAAGTGGTTAAGACGCTGAACTGCAGGCTGTGGAAGGTCGGTAGTTCAGCAGTTCGAGACCTGTGTGTGCCGCATGACGGAGTGAGCTCCCATCTCTAGTTCCAGCTCCTGCCAACCTAGCAGTTCGAAAGCAAGAAATTGCAGGTAGATAAATAGGTACCGCTTCGGTGGGAAGGTAACAGCGTTCCGTGCGCCTTGGTGTATAGTCATGCCGGCCACATGACCACGGAAATGTCTTCAGACAGCGCTGGCTCTTCGGCTTTGAAATGGAGATGAGCACCGCAACCCTAGAGTCAGATTCGACTGGCTTTCGAGCAAGGGAACCTTTACCTTTACTCTTTAAGTAGCAGCTAAATGGATGTTAATTTTTTTGTTATTTGTTTATGATCAGCCTTTCTCCATGAGACTCAAGGTGGATTACACAGTGTAAGATGCCAGTCGATGCAATCAATAGGATGAGACAGTTTAATGAGCAACGTCATAGGACTAGGATTACAGGACTCTGAAACAAAGCAGAAAGTATTGGACACAAGGAAAACAATGGTATTACATAAGTAGAAAGCAATGCAGGGTAATATATTCAGCAGAAAGATAAAATACATACTGTACCCAGTGAGAACGGTCCACAATCTCATTCCTTTTTAACAGTGGGAAAATCTTGAAATGCCTTTCCAGAATCACTGGTCAGATAAAAATGTTTTTTGAATTAAGGATGCTGTCTGGTCACGCTAGGTTTATGTTGTAGATATCAGTTATCCTCAACTTGTCTATTTCTTCACAGGATTTGGGAGATTAAATGTTTTTGCCAGTTTTGTAGATGTCAGAAACAGACTGGCAGTTAACTGGACACAGTGAGTTAAACACAGCAAGACAACCACTAAAAATGCCCTTCTTTGTGGAACTATTTTCTGAACCTCCAGCACTTGAGTGTTCAAAGAACAGCCTCAGAAGCATTGCTCCCTCTAAGCTGTGGAGTCTTGTGAGCAAAAATTCTACTTTGTGAGCTCCTGGCATTAAAGCTGTGAGCAAGTGATTTGGCTACTGCATTAACTTAGTTTGCTCTGGAGCCATCCCTTCCTGAGCTAGGACAAACGTGTGCGCTGGAGGCTAAAAAACCGTGAGCTAGCTCACACTCACTCAGCTTAGAGGGAACATAGCTCAGAATCATCTATAGGAAAATTTTACCCTTGTGTGGATTCTCTGAGGAACATGAGTGTCAGATCTGTGCCTCAGGTTCTGGCCAAACGCTGAGCATTTATGAGGTTCCTCCCTTGTGTGGAATCCTCCATGCTAAAGGAGATGGGAGCTGATTTTGAATTTACTTCACCTGGAAGAACTCATCCTTGCTTTCTTCCTTCTGGGACTGGAGGGCTTCAAACATGGTTAAAGCTCTTTCTATAGCAGTGGTGGCGAACCTATGGCACGGGTGCCAGAGGTGGCACTCAGAACCCTCTCTGTGGGCACGCATGCCATCGCCCCAGCCAGGCCCAGACCATCATTAAAGTGTCGAATTCTCTGCCAAATAATTTTAAGTAAATGAAAGCATTTGGGATTGCTCTCCTTACTTTGTTTGGATCATCTTAAGTTAATGTATGAGGTTTTTTTCTAAAGTAAAACCTCAGTATTCAGGTTAGATTGCCGTGTTGGGACTTTGCAATAAATAAGTGGGGTTTGGGTCGCAGTTTGGGCACTCGGTCTCTAAAAGGTTTGCTATCACTGTTCTATAGTATGAGCATTTAAAACATTTCTTCCTGGTTAGGGTAAGATTTCTGTGTAGATTAAAGCTGAAGAGTTTATATCCTTTTGATGCTTTATGTGGTCTGTGGTTGTCTTTTACCTGTGAAACAAGATAAGTGCTCTTTTCACTGGCTAAGCGGTGACATGGTTTCTCCTTGTGTGGGTTCTTAGATATTTTCAAAAAACGCTACTCCAACTCAATATCTTTCCACACTTTGAGCACACAAAAGGTTTCTCACCCTATATGGGTTCTTCGATGCTCTTGAAGAAGGCCACTCCGACTGACTCTCTTTCCACATGCTGAGCATTCAGAAGGTTTCTCCCCTATGTGGGTTTCTTGATGCTGTTGAAGACTGCCACTGTGACGGAATCGCTTCCTACACTCAAAGCATTCAAAAGTTTTCTCCCGTGTTCGAGTTCCGTGGTGCTGGGAAACTAACAGCATATCCAAGCAATTGGAGGACTGTGCAGTACAGAAACGTAGGGCCACATCCAATATATAAAAAAGAATTTCTTTAAAAGAAAGTTAAGTTCAATCCGACTAAATCAAAACAACAGATCAGCACATGGAAGAACAAAGAAAAGTTGGGTATAAATGTATCCTTTCCTTGGTTCTAAAACTTACTCGAACTGGATGATGATAGAGAGTAGGTACGTGCAAACTTATAAAATTGCAAAAGGTTCTAAAGGTGTCCCATAATTACCTCTTCGATGCAAAATTGCAAAAGGTTCTAAAGGTGTCCCATAATTACCTCAGGCTCCCTGCAGCCAGCAAGCCAGGCCGCATGGCCAAGATGGCTCCTGATCTGTAGATCAGAGCTCAGCCATCTGTCCTCTTCCAAGGACCTGCACCAACAGACCCTCCTTCATTCGAGCAGGCACTTTTATTAAACCTCTGACTCCACTCCACACATTTTACATCACTCTCTCTGCCTCTTTTGACCTGGTCCGCCCAGCTCACGTGGCTGGACCGTGGGACACCCAGGTCCATCCTGGTGCGTGCAGGTGAATCCTGAGAGCCCTCCTGGAAGGCATTCTGAGAAATCTCCAAGAATAACCTGGAGATTTGTAACACCAAATACCTCAGGAACCTGGCAAGCCGAGTCATTTGCAAAACGATGGCTGGTAATTGGCCTCGCTTCCTGCCCTTCCAGAAAGAAGAGGGGAGAATAGTACACTTTAAAAACTCAGTGTGTGTGGGGTGTGTGTGTGTGTTTCTCCACACATTTGAAGAAGGCTACTCTAACTAAATCTCTTTTCACACTCTGAACGCTCAAATTGGTTCTTCCTTGTGTGGGTTGTCAGATGCTTTTGAAGAAAGCCACTCAACTTGAATCTCTTTCCCCACACTGAGCATTCAAAAAGTTTCTCCCATTGTGGGTTTTTTTATGCTGGTGAAGAGAGCCACCCTGAGTGAACCTCTTTCCACACTCTGAACATTCAAAAGGTTTCTCCCCTGTGTGGATTCTTTTATGGTCTCGAAGATGGCTACTGCAACTGAATCTCTTTCCACACTCTGAGCATTCATAAGGTTTCTCCCCTGTGTGAGTTCTTTTATGCCTTTGAAGACTGCTACTGTGACTGAATCTCTTCCCACACTCTGTGCATTGAAAAGGTTTCTCCTCTGTGTGGGTTCTTTGGTGCAGTTGAAGATAGCGACTAGTACTGAATCTCTTTCCACACTCTGAGCATTCAAAAAGTTTCTCCCTTGCATGGGTTATTTTATGTTCTTGAAGTTTGCTACTCCGACTGAATCTCCTTCCACACTCTGAACATTCAAAAGGTTTCTCCCCTGTGTGGGTTCTTTGATGATCGTGAAGAGTGCCCTTCTGACTGAATCTCTTTCCACACTCTAAACATTCAAATGGTTTCTCCCCTGTGTGGGTTCTTAGATGATATTGAAGACTGCCATTTCGACTGAATCTCTTTCCACACTCTGAACATTCAAAAGTTTTCTCCCCCATGTGAGTTCTTTGATGATCGTGAAGAGCACGGCCCTGAGTGAAGCTCTTTCCACAATCTGAGTATTCAAAAGTTTTCTTCCTTGAGTGGGTTCCTTGATGATATTGAAGATAGCGATTTGTAGTGAACCTCTTTCCACACTCTGAGCATTCAAAAGGTTTTTCCCCTGTGTGGGTTCTTCGATGATATTGAAGACTGCTATTCCGACTGAATCTCTTTCCACACTCTGAACATTCAAATGGTTTCTCCCCTGTGTGAGTTCTTTTATGCCTTTGAAGACTGCTACTCTGACTGAATCTCCTACCACACTCTGAACATTCAAATGGTTTCTCCCCTGTGTGGGTTCTTCGATGATATTGAAGACTGCTATTCCGACTGAATCTCTTTCCACACTCTGAACATTGAAACGGTTTCTCCCCTGTATGGGTTCTTTGATGATCTTGAAGACTTGCATTCTGACGGAATCTCTTTCCGCACTCTGGGCATTCGAACGGTTTCTCCCCTGTGTGGGTTCTTTGATGCACTTGTAGATAACTACGCGCACTGAATGTCTTCCCACACTCTGCGCATTCAAAGGGTTTCTCCCCTGAGTGGGTTCTTTTATGCCGTTGAAGACTGCCCTTCGAACTTAATTTCTTTTCACACCCTGAGTATTTAAAAAATTTCTCTCCTCTGTGTTTTCTTTGGTTCACAAGAAGCTGTGATCTATATCTGAAGTACTTTCCACCTTGAATAGATTTACTTGTCTTCATTATGCTGTGCTTTGGAAAATGTTCACTATGCTTCCTTCCATCTCTCTTCTCAACCAAACAGCTGACTTGCTTTCTTTTAGGGCTGCCTCGATTCCAGATGTTTCTTTTCAAGTCTTCGTTATTAACGTTATCTGTCAATTGCAGATGAAGTTCCTCACCCTCCTCATTCCTCTGATTGTCCTCTGCTGGAACGAAGAGAGAGAAAACATTAGCATCTAGGAGGTCAGGAACGGTCCAAAGGCTGCAGTAGGAAAGGATTGATGGCCCTTTGGCCTTCTCCAGCTTGGCTGACCCTACTAACCCCTCCACCTTTCCCCAGAATATTCGGGATTTAAGGATACCACAGCCTTTCAAGAACCACAGCTGATCTCTTGCCCAGAAGGAGCTTCCAAGTCTCCAGATTCCAGGCCCCAGAACGCCCCCCTCCTGTATTGCCCAGCGGGTGTTATAATTTTACCAAACTAAGAGCCACTTAAGTGAAACAGGAAAGTCCCGTGGGCATGCCATGACCATTTCCTTGACATAACTGTGAAGGGATACCCAGCTCACTTGGGAAGGAAATCGTCTCTTGAGATCCTCTTAAGGAACTCTCCAGTCTTTCTTCAGATGCAAGGCTGTTGTCTGTCTCCACCATGGTCTCTGTTATCATTCTGGCTTCTTTCGCACAGAGAGAGACAGAGAGAAAGTGATCATTCTTATATGGGAAGGGACCCGTATCCAAGCAAGAGTAAAAATTATCCTGGGTGGGCAGAAACGTGGTCAAGATTAAAGTCAAAAATCCCAACCCATATAAGGGGGACAGATGATGTTCATAGAAATACCTGGGTGTAGTTTTACAGGCCTACAGTTCTAGGATTAAGCACAGCAAATATGTTGCCGATCTAGGGGAAAGATCCGCAAATGCCATACTGACATTTTTTCAAACTCATGGTGGACACTTTGTTCCTGCAGCCCTGAAGTTATATAAGGCCAAAACATTGGCACAACTGCTCTATGGAACATTCTTAGGACCACCTTCCTCATGCTTTACGCCGCAAGAAAGAGTTCAGCCCAAATTTTTAAGAGCTGTTTTGCTAGTGCCTAACTGTGTATCCAATGCTTGGATACGACTGGAGTCTCGGAATCTTAGAATTGAAGCTAGGGTATGTAGCCGAAGGGTCATTTCAATCCACAAGGCTTGCTTCTCCTGATATCCCAGGATGATTTCCAATCCAGTTGGATCAAGGCAGTTCACTATCATATTCACAGAACTGGCTTCTCACCTCAGCTTCTCTTATCCTATGAATTTGAACAAGCCAAAGGGCTTATTGAACAAAGAGTTGAAGATACTGAGCGACAATCTGACATCTCTAAGGCTTCCAAACTTGGGGTGTTGTTAAATATCAAAAGCACCATTAAGTCGGCAATATATTTGACTTCAGTGGAGGGAAAGAATTCTAGAAGGGCATGTGTTCTAGCTAGGTGTTCTGCCCTTCCATCTGCGGTTATTCAAGGCAGGTACAACAAAAAACCCAATTCTGAAAGGCTATGCCCATGCCTTTTAAGCGAGGTTGAATCGGTAGAACATATGTTCTTCAGCTGTCCATTTTACAGGGAGGCTCGTCTTAAAATTATTACCCCATTAGTTGATAGGGCACCTGGGCACATAACACAAACAAAGCAAGGCTTCACTGGCTCCTATCAAATAAGAATGTAGAGATTACACATTCAGTTCCTGAGTTTTCTGCGTTAGTTCTTAGATTGCGGGAATCGCATTTTAAAAGTTCTTACATTCAGATTTCTATTTTTGTATATTATGAGTGGGTTTTTTCTTCTCTCTCCCTCGCATATTATGCTTACTCTGTATGTTGGTCTTAAGACCATAATAATAAAACTAAAACTGAACTAAAAACCCATTAGATCTAGTCTTGCAATCCGGAGGAAGAGAGAATAGATCTGCTCCATCTTCTACATGACAGCCCTTCAAATATCTGGACTGCAATCATGTCCCCTCTAAGCCTTCTCTTTCCCAGGCTAAACAGACCCAACTCTTTCAGCCTTTCCTCATAAGACTTGGACTCCAACCCTCTCGCAATCCTGGTTGCCCTCTTCTGGACACGCTCGAGCTCGTCAACATTCCTCCTAAAATGTGGTGCCCAAAACTGGACATAGGACTCCAGGTGGGGCCTGACCATAGCAGAATAGAGCGGAACTACCACCTCCCGTGATCTGGACACAATGCTTCTGTTAATGCATCCTAAGACTGTGTTAGCTTTCTTCACAGTCACATCGCACTGCAGGCTCATGTTTAGCTTGTGATCAACCAGAACACCCAGATCCCTTTCGCATGAGCTGCCGTCAAGCCAAGTCCCTCCCATTCCATATCTGTGCCTTTGATTTTTTATACCTAAGTGTAGGACTTTGCACTTATCTCTATTGAAATTCATTTTATTTACCTCAGCTCACTGCTGCAGCCTATTGAGATCATTTTGAATCTTGGCTCTGTCTTCTCCAGAATTAGCAATCCCACCCAGCTTCGTGTCGTCTGCAGATCTGATAAGCATCCCCTCTGTTTTATTTTTTTTATTTTATTTATCTTTAGATTTGTATCCCACCCTACCCCGAAGGCTCAGGGCGGCTAACAAGGGTTATTTATAAAAACACTGAACAACATCTGGCCCAGGACCGAGCCCTGCGGTACTCCACTCAAGATGTTCAGATCACAGTCTGAGCGGATGTTTGTAATCCCATCCGGGGGGTGTTTTAAAAGCTAGCAACAGAGAAATCAGGATCTGGCCCCTTCCAGAGTCTTTCTGAGGGCCTTTCACCCCACCTTTGCCTCAAGCCAGGACTCTTTCTCTGGCTGGGGTGATGGCCACAACCAGTGTTCTCTCTAAGCTGAGTTAGTGTGAGCTAGCTCACAGTTTTTCAGCCTCTGGCTCACACACTTTTGTCTCAGCTCAGGAAGGATGACTCCAAAGCAGACTAATTTATGCAGCAGCCGGATTGCTCACTCACAACTTGCCAGTAGCTCACGAAGTAGAAGTTTTGCTCACAAGACTCCACAGCTTAGAAGGAGCATTGGCCACAACACTGGCCTCAGTTGCCTCTGGACAAGTGGCAGGACAGGAGACAGAACACTGTATTGCTTTTCGATATTTTGATATATGCCACATCACAACGGCACAAATTTGCAACTTGGGCACCTAGCGAAGGATCCTTACCCAGAGAGGCCACGCTCCCGTAGTTCTCCAGCATGACTTCCCAGTACAGAGCTCTTTGGTCCGGATCCAGCAGGGACCACTCTCCCACGGTGAAATACACGGCCACCTCCTCAAAGGAAAACCGACACTGAAAGAAAAAGCAGATTCTCTTCTCAGAGATCATGCCAGAAACTGCTTGGTATGGGTAAAGGGAGGAACATTCAGAGCCTCGTTCACCCAGACACCTTGAGGAAACTGCAGGAGC